AAATCACAGTTTTAACAAAATATAAAATAAATAACATTAACAATACTAAGATAAATGCATTCTGAGTGACCAGTCTGGTAAAGACCGAGCCATCTCTTTTTTTAAAATCTGTTGTTTCTGCCTCCGCAGACAACTACAAACATTTGTTTTCCTCAAACTACATTTCCCATGAAGCACTGGGTGTAAGCATCCCATCTCACATAACATCTGTTTTTCTATATAGATTTTTTTTTTATTAGTTGTTTTTCATTAATATATCTATATATTTTTTTTTGCACCTGGGATTTCCTCCCACCCCCCTTCCTGAATCGACCAACCACAGTTCAGCCCTGCAGGCTCCTGCAGCCAATCAGGAGCAGGCGTCCGAGTGGGCGACAGACAGTGGTGAGGTCAAAGGTGAGAGGTCACAGAGGCAGAGGTCAGCAGCAGCAGTGCCCAGGTAGGCCACCCTGGTGTGTGTGTGTGTGTGTGTGTGTGTGTTTATTTGTATTACTATACTACACAGGTTTAAAACTTTCACTCTTTAACTTCTTTGTTTCTTCCTGACCAGTAAAACTTTAAACTAAAATGTTAGCATCTGATTGGCTGACGAACATGTAAGCATTAACCCAAAATTAGTTCTTTGGCCAACCACAGTGGAGTATCTAATATGGGGCCGGTGCAGAGGTTGCGTTAATCGCTGACTGATATTTTTTAACACTAACTGAAAAATCTAAAGGTCGTCTGTCATTTTGAGAAGCGAGCGATCTACTGTAACTTTACGTAAATCACACTCCTGTCCAGATGGTGGCGTGTAGTCTCATGTACATGACTTTAGCCAGAGAGGTTACCTCTTTGCTTTAGCTATCGCATCGGTAAGCTAAATTGCTACACTGCAAAATGTCAAAGCCGCAAGTTGAACCAGTTAGCATGAGCTCGCACAGCATCAGCAACTAACATCCAACATCCAACACCGAGCCGTTAAAACTAACAAACACACCGACTCTGACATGGTTCGACTCGACTTGTTAAATCTGTTAATAAATGTTGGGTAGTATTAGCTGTGTGTTGCGGACAGTTAGCCCGGTCACTGTGTGTGAGCTAGCGGACTTTCATAAACTGTACCAAGTGTGGAGCTCGCACTCCCGCACCAGTCTCACTGTAAACAGAGCAAGAACAGGGACAAGGACGGGCCGAGGGAATTAATATGCTGCGTGCAGCTTTACAATGAAATACGCTTTTAGATAAGTCATGTTCAGCCACACCTCAAACAGTCACAATTGATTACTTGTGTTACAAAATCTCTGGGGCCCAAAAATGAGCAAAAACAGGAACTGATGCAGTGGAGGATGACGGACAAGCAGGTAATACTGACAAAGTACATCAGTCGGCAGCGGATACAATATGAGTGTAAGTAATATCAGATTATGACAGTCTTTACGACCCTGTCCTTCAAAATGACGGGCAACGAGAAATACTAACGCAACTCTGGACAGGTGTGTTGCGATGACGAACAACTTGTGCAGACTTTACGCTTAACACAAAAGACTTGATTAAGTCAAGTGTGACTGTAATCTGCATGTTGATGTGAGACGCCGGTACTTTTTTCGTATGACCAAGATGAATTTCTCTTGAGAGACAATAAAGATCAATCTTAATCTTAAGTCATTTTCAGCTTGTGAATCCTCGTGCCTGGAACAATATGGCAAGAATAAAGGTAGCTTAGTGACGAGGAGCGCCACTGAGGCATTTTCAAATTAAGAAAACAAGATGGCTGCAGCTGGTGTGGAACTTTCTGTTGAAGTATTTTAAAATTCTGATGGCAAAACAGCCACACTCACTCACAGACATGCTAATGCTTCTCCATCTCAGCTCATCTCTGCACGCTGTTTTCTGTTTGCGTTGCTCAGCGCTACATCACGTGTCATCGCTCTGATTGGTTGCAGGTCGATCCAATTGTGTCCTGAGACATTTTGATCTACGGCTGTTGACAACACCTCTTGGAAACTGTAATGAACTGAGAGGTTCCAGACTAACTCACATTTACGAACTGGTGTTGGAGCCAGGGTAATAAAATTCTGAAATACTACAAAATGAACCTGCGGGGACTTTGGTCGACTCGGTCAGATCTCGCTGAGGGTTTATAGTTTGGAAAGGAAGGAAGGAAACATCCTCTGAAGTACAGTAACACAAATTTTGTAAATGTCTGCATGTGTGTGTTTTTCCAAACTCCAGTGTTTTATTGCACCTGTGTGTGGTGTCTGTGGTGTTGTGTCGGGTGGGGATCAGTACAGTCTCAGAGGAATCCTCCTCTTCTTGCAAAAAATCCAGGAAGGGGAGAGAGTGGGAGAAACCAACAAAACAAAACAAACAAAAAATCAACAAAATTAAAATGTTCCATATAGTTTTCTCTTAAAAAATAGACGTCTTGTCTGTTTGTAAATCAGTAGTCGGAAGGAAGTGACATCCATCCATTTGTCCGTTTGTTTATCACAGGAGTGAAATGATTGATCCAGCAAACAAGAGTGGATAAATAAACAACAAAAATAAGAATTTTTTTTTGCCGTTGGCGAGGGATGGGGGGAGCACCCTGTGTTTTCCAGTTGAAAGAGAGAAAAGGAAGAGAGAAAGAGAAGGAGTGAGACAGCATCCATCTTTTTCTTTTGCCTTTCCATCAGTCTCGGAGTAGAGAACCGCAGGATGAAAAACAAGGTGATGAGGTGGGCAGAGGTCAGAGGCATCCACCTTTAATTGGCTCGGAAAGGTGATAGGATGGTCATGAGCAGAGGGAGGGGCGGACTGGTAAGAATCTACTAAGAATCCATGGCACAGGTGAATGTTTGTCCCCTTGAAATGCATCAAAATCTCCCACGTAATCATGTGCATCGCCTTATGTCCCAAAGAAATACTGCAACATCGCCTCCTTCTCTGTTAAGGAGTCGCTGAGGTGAAACACAGAAGAAAAGTGATGTGATGAGGGAGGAGGAGGGTTTGAAGGTAGAAAATTAGTTGAAAGAATCAATAGCGGGATAGAAGTGGATGATAAGTGTTGAGCAATTTTAGCGGTCAGGAAGGAAGCCTTAAAATCAAACTGATACCAGTAGTCCGGTCAATCTGACTCGAAAATGGGCCCAACCTAGGAGAAATGGCAATAGGAATGTTTCGTACTTTTTATTGGTTCTAATTGTTCTAAAACCCTCCTGCTTTAGGATTTAGTTACGTAATACGTATTTTTTCCTCTCACCTGTATTGCAGATATCAGCTGTAGAGATGTCTGCCTTCTCTCCAATATAATGGAACTAGATGACACTCAGCTTGTGGTGCTCAAAGTGCCAAAAAAACACATTTGAAAAACTCAACAGAAATGTCTCTTTCCAGAAACTGTGACCCCGTTACTCAAGATAATCCACAGACCTTGTTGTGAACACTTTCAGGTAGGAACTATTTTCTTCACAGCTACACTGAAGAGGACGTCATTAATGTTGACATCTCACACTATCATGAGCACAAGACTCTTGTCTACAAGAAGATGTCATGGATGTATTCAGAAACCTACATACAGCATTGGCCCGTTTATTCCTTTGAAAGTTGCTCCGTGGTGTATGAAGCCGAAAAAGCTGTATTTCGGCAGTACGAAATTACCTGGACGATCGGCGCCCATAGAGCAGAGGCACTGGAGACTTAGGGCCTGTCCCAATACCCCCCCTTAACCCTACCCCTTGGTCCTACCCCTACATTTGTGCGTTCCCATGAGGAGTAGTGGTGTCCCAATTCCTTTTAGCGTGTAGGGTTAGGGGGCATAACGAGGGGTAGTGGGTATGAAACTAGCCCTTCGGAGCGAGGGATTTCAGATGCTGACTTGCCAGCAAGGTGTAGACGTTGCCATGGCTACCACCAAGCAAAAGACGGGAAAAAAAGTTCATACATAGCTAATGTTACGGTTGTCTAGCTAGCTCGCACTATCTGGCGTCTGACATCTGTCCTGTTCTGCAAAATTGTCGGATTTTTCACATTACGGTAACACTCCAGCTAGAATAACTACGCTGCCTCCTAATGTTAGGTGGTTAGCTAGCTAGCAGAAGTCCCCTGTCGTCTGTCGTTCATCATACGAAGCATGATGAATACAGCAAACACGATCGGTAGGATGAACTCAACCGGAGACTCCATTGTAGATGCCGGTTGGAAATGTAGATGGCTTGCAGCTTCCTGTTTAAAATAGGTGAACGTAACCGATGCGTTGATGTAGTGAGTGGTGTCCCAATTCCTAAGGAATGATTTCAACCCCTACCCCTCGCTGCTTCATTTTGAGGGCCAAGGGGTAGTGGGCAATGGCTTGGGGTAGGGCCAAGGGCTAAGGGGTAGTGGACAAGGGGGGGTATTGGGATTGGGCCTTAGAGCTGCAGAGCACAGCCAGTTTAGTGCTCTGTTAACGTGAATTGGGATAAATTAATTTAATTTTGCGGCTTATATAAACTTTCGAAATGGTCTGGGGCCGAATGGATTAAATCCTGATAGTGGAATCAGTTATTCTGAGGGGGCTGTGACACTCGAAAAACAAGTATCCACTGATTTACAGACGTCCCTTTCCCAATGTAAGTCTATGGGAAAAGTCTTTTTGGGCCCTTTGGCATCACATAACTGACCCCACAAAAATTGCAGTACCACTGTTTGGCACTTCCTGGGGCCTGGTAGATGTAGTTGGTGGGTGTAGTTTGGTAGAAAGAAAAAAGGTAGATGAAACTGCTCACAACAAGGTCTGTGGATTATCTTGAGTAACCAGGTCATGATTTCTGGATAGAGACATTGATGTTGAGTTTTTCATATATATTTTTGTGGTGTTTTGACCACCACAAGCCGAGTGCCATCTAGTTCCATTATAATAGAGAGAAGGCAGGTGTTTCAGAGGCTTTTCCATCCTGAAAATATCATATTGTGGAGTTTTTAGGTTTTTATAGGTATAAAATGGTATGTTCAGTGTTTTGGATATTATTCAAATGACGCAAACTTCAGGTTTTTGTAGCTATTACCGGACAAATATTTTCAATTATTTGTTAGTTTTTAGTTGTAATTTGCATGAATTTGTCAAGTACAGAAGACAGAAGTCTACTGGAGTGAAGAGACGAGAGGAGGAAACAGCAGAGGAGGGGAGGTCTTGGCAGCAGTAGTAAAAGTTGAAGATATGGAGTGGAAAAAACAACACATGAGAAGAAAGTCTTGGCAGTAGTCAGAGAGATTTGTGATTCTGAGAAAGTGAACTGAGGAGGAGTCTGGTAATTTTTGGGTAGTTCTGTACTGGGAGGGAGGAGTGTGCTGGAGAAGTCATGAAATGGTCTGGCATCAATCCTGTGAGCGCAGGACCAGTAGAGGAGGAGATGTGGGACTAGGATTCAGAGGAGGTACGTGAGCCGCCGTGCAAGAGCGACTTGTAGATGTTGGAGGAGAGGAATCGTGGGTAGGAGTCCCTGTGCATCAGCGTGTAGATCTGTAGCTGGGCGTCTTCGAACGCGTGAGGCGTCGGGTCCTGCATCTTCCTGTTGATCACCTCTCGAACCCGGGCGTCCAGACTCACCTGGTGGGAAATACAGTTTAGTGACGTGAAATAAGAAGACGCCATGAGGCTTGGGTCGTGTCACAGTGTTACAATACATCAGTGTATTTAGAGATCCAGACTGTATGATTATCATTGCCATCAAAAATACAGTTCTTTTTTATAGCCGGCCAAATGTTAGCTCTAGTTTTGTCAAGAACTAACTTCCATAGGGCCATAAACAGTTAACAGCACTGGAACACACACACACACACACACACACACACACACACACACACACAAAATCACTCACAGTGGCCCCACAGTCACTGCTCCAGCAGATATTTATAGCACAACAAGCTTTCTCTTATGTTTTCACTCTGCTCTTATTTAGGAAAGACACACACACACACACACATGTGCACACACACACGAAAAGAGATAGGTATTCTACCAAGGTCAGACACGCAGACAGACAGCCAGGCATGCATTTTCTCTGCCAAACTCACACGTCTAGATATCTCTGTATTTTAGTGCATGTGTGTGTGTGTGTGTGTGTGTGTGTGTCTATAAAAAGCCTCTATTGCCAGAAGGTGATGGGAGCAGCAATTTATAGCTTCCTGTAAAAACACTGTACACACACACACACACACACACACACACACTAACACACATGCAGACAACAGCACATACAAACACACCAGTGTCTAAACATGCCAACACACACACACACACACACACACATGCGTAGACACACGCACACACTGGTGATGGAGCCTGACAAGCAAAGCCTCCAGCGCTCATACTAAATAAAGCAACCACTGTGAAACACTCTCTCTCTCTCACACACACACACACACACACACACACACACACTCAGCCAGTTAAAAATAGCAGTTAAACAGCAGACAATGCTTTGCCCATTTCTCACCAGAAAAACTTGAACACATTCAGTGTGTGTGTGTGTGTGCCACTTGGTCAATTAGCAGGGCTTGCATTTCAGGTGGGTATTGGTGTGAACACTGAGCATGTGCACAGTAGCTGACAAATTAAAACCTTGAAATGTGCAACGTGCAACAAGAATTAAGTAAAGATAAAGAAGTGGAGACATTTAACAGAGGCTGCAGTGTCATTTACGTTCTTTGTAATCTGCCAATTATATTTTAATCATTTCATCCATTCACCCATTTTCAACCACTTTTCTGAAGCCAGGTCGCAGGGGTTCACAGCAACGCTTTCCAGCTACTCCTGGGGGACCCAAAGGCGCTCCCACAGGGGACGAGATATGCATGTTCTGGGTCTGCCCCGGGGCCTCCTACCAGTAGGACATGCCTGGAACACCTCCAGCAGGAGGCACCCAGGAGGATCCTGATCACATGCCCGAACCACCTCAACTGACCCCTTTCAACCCGAAGGAGCAGCGGCTCTACTCCGAGCTCCCTACGGATGTCTGAGTTTCTTACCCTATCTGTAAAGCTGAGCCCAGACACCCTTCACCCTTCGGCCGCTTGTATCTGCGACCTCATTCCATAGCTCATGACCATAGGTGAGGGTTGGGACGTAGAGTAGGTAGGAGGCCCCGGGGCAGACCCAGAACATGGAACACCTTGAGAAGAGAGACTGGAGAAACAGGCCTCTGGAAAACCTTTGCTCAGCCTGCTGCCCCCGCGACCAGGCTTCAGGTAAGCAGTTGAAAATGGACAGATAGATGGAGTATGTAACTGTTAGCTCACTACTTTGATTTAGCTGCCACCCTGCAGTTACTCTGAGGAACCCCTAAAGGCTGCGGACCCCCTGTTGAAGACCCAGACTCTGGTAATACTTATCAGCAGTTATACTCTGGGGACCTTGAATAATAAATACAGTAAATCTGATGTAAATAGTTGCTGATCTCTTACTGTGAATCAAAATGTTCGACAGACTGACAAACCAGCTGACAGTAGGACACAGATGAAGCAACAACCACACTGGAAAACAAAATGCATCATCCAGATCTTACGTAAGAAGACATTTTCTAAACACCGTAGTTCCCTAAATTAAATTCATCTTATTTCTGAGACACAAGAACAGACCTCGAGCAATGTCCGCCTGATGGTTCAACATCCTGAAGTGATTTACAAGCAGTAATCTCTTGGAATTTAAACAATGACACAAGCCTTTAATCCGTGTCCACAGTCTAAAACCTTTAAGGGACTCCCCCCACAAAAATAGAAGAGTAGGAAGCCTCTGTTACTTTATTTAATTGGATTTAATGGGGAAAGGGGAAGTGATCTCTAGACTGTGATGTGGCAGAAATGGGCAGAGCCTAGTTGCTGAATTCAAGGGATTTAAGGGACATTCAAAGTTTAGTGCTCAGCTTCCAGAGAGCTCTGTGAGCTACTTCATGACATCAAACCAAACCTAAAAGATAAAAACAGTCTTTCAAACATTTTTGTTTTAGACAGAGGTGTAACCACAGTAAGCCAACAGCTTTCTTACCTCTTTTGGCGACAATATTGAAATGTAATCCTCATAGATGGAGCGCGCTTTCTCCTCAATGGCGGTCTTGTTGATTTCCTGTTTGAGGTCTTCGCAGGCCAACCAGAACAGCATGTTCTCCTCGCTGTACTCAGTCCGCAAGAACTCCCGAAAAACATTCCGACCTGCTGGGTTCCTCATCAGCTTGTCGAAGGACTGAGCCCACATCCGCATCTCTTCCGTTGTGGGTTTGGTGCTGAGGACGGAAGAGTGGAGAGATACTTCATTTATTTGTTTGCTTACTCATTAATTGAGTTGATGAACAACGATCATGGTTTTGAAGCTTATACCCTGCACATAGCTCACTGATAAAAAAAAAAAAGAATTACTATCTCACTCAGCGTTACACTTTCTTTCTGATTACTCCAGTCAATTTTGGAGTGGATCCAAGTTACGGGGCGAATACACCAATTATTTATCACAAACATTGCGAGATCGGGCATTTGGCCTTGGCTCCTTGGATCCTGCATTCATGAGTAACCTAAACTAAAAGTAGAAAGCACTCAATAGAGTAAACACCTCCAACCAAGCTGCACTGTCCTCTGAACACTGCATATTGTGTTGAAGTAGTAAGAAAGGTCCTCCAACTCTGTACCAACATACGTAATGACAGGAAATCAGACATTTGACTTTTGTTGTACAAAACTTAATGGTCCCCAGAAGGTGAATCCTAAGGACTACCGATCTACCACCTCCAGTGGGTCAAGTGCCATAACAGGTGCATGTTTAATGCCACCATTGGATATACCAACATGTTTAACATTGCCAGGACTCAACAGTAAGGACTGCCAATCGTCACATCAGGCTAGTAAATCTAGCAACTCAAAAAAGTAATTGAACACATCGCTTTTTCCGGAGCTGAAGATTGAAGTTGCTAAGGAGTGAGCCATCTCACTTCCTTCTCATCTTTTTTGAGAGTTGCACATATGCAACCATGCACAAAATGACAGTGGGTAAGAACAAAGTTTGAGCTGAAAGTGAGTATTTCAATTATCCTGGAAACAGGAGTTTAGTCGGATGGTGTCAGAGGATGTAGGCAAAACTCCAACTATGTATTTCAGTTTGCCACAAGTTTCAGAGCAATGTGGATAAAACAGGGTTGAAAGACTAACTTAAGGCTTTGTTGTTATTTGCTAACAGCTAATAAATGAAACAGTTTTTCTTGGGGCAAGTAAAAATTGACTTCAGACAAATAGATTTCCAGCCAGGCAAGTGAAAAAAAAAAACAGAATTACTGCCCTGCGGTTGTATGCCTTTCCACACCAGTCAAGTTTCTCTTACAGTTTACATCTATGTCTGTGAAAACATGGATGCTTCACAGACATCTCCCCCCAACAGGTCAAGATGGACACCCAAGATTAGTGTCACCAATTCAGTATCGGACCAAACGCTTCCTCTTCTGTTCTTGAGTTATAACTTTGAGTAATGGCCAGAAAAGTGCTTTATGCAATTATGTTTACCTTTGACCGTTTGGATATCAAATGTCATCACTTCATTATTTTATCCTGTTAGACATTTGTGTGAATTTTTGTTATAATTCGTGTAAGAATTCTGGAGTTGTGGCCAAAAACATGTTTTGTGAGGTCATACTGACCTTGACCTTTGAGTGCCAAATACTAATCAGTTTATTCTTCAGTACAAGTGGACGTTGGTGCCAAATTTAAAGAAATTCCCTCAAGATGTGACACCACGTTCAGAAAAATGAGACAGGCAAGGTCACAGTGACCTTGACCTTTGGGCACCAAATAAACACCAGTTTATTCCCTGGTACAAGTGGACGCTGGTGCCAAATTTAAAGAAATTCCCTCAAGATGTGATACCGCGTTCAGAAAAACGAGACAGGCAAGGTCACAGTGACCTTGGCCTTTGACCACAAAAATCTAATCATTTCATCAGTGAGTCAAAGTTGATGTTTGTGCCAAATTTGAAGAAATTCCTTCACCGTGTTCTTGAGATATTGTGTTCACGAGACTGGGACGGACAGATGGACAACCTGAAATCGTAATGCCTCCGGCTATGGCTATTTCAAGTGTGGAGGCATAAAAATATAAATGATGAACCCTGATTACTTACAAACTAAATGTCTGTAGGCAGCATGTGCTACACGCTTGGTGCTACATATGAGAAGATAAACATTACACAAAAACACGTCAACATGTAGATGATGGACTGTACGGACATCAGCATCCTATATATTATCAGCATTCTACACCCATCCAAAAATATTGTTTTCTAGCATAATGAATATTACAGCTTGTAACTGCATGGTTGTCAACTTTTGGTTTTATTTTACATGAAGAACAGAAAATATAAAAAAAATCCTGACTTTAAAAGCCTGATCATTGTTCTTTGTGCCTCACCTCTGAGAAGTTTATCACAATCTTTTACACATTTTAAACGAACCAAAATGAGTTTGTGTTCCTGCTGCAGACTCACCAAGCTTCACAGTTTGGTATGGTTTCCATCTTGGTGTCCTGTGATATTCTCTTCCTCCTCCTCCGCCTCCGTCTCTCCTCTTCATTCCTGACAGTGAGACTGACATGATGAAAAAGCTCTCAGGCAGGAAACACACACACACACACACACACACACACACACTAAACCACAGCTGACAGAAGAGTAATTGCTCTCACAACTATAAACACATGTACAATCACCTACTACCCCATTTAATGACAACACTAACCACAGTTATGTTAACAGCAGGGTGAAGTAGCAGCTACAGGTGTGTGTTCAGTGTGTGTGTGTGTGTGTGTGTGTAACAGAGACAGAGAGCTATAAATAATGAGTTTCCCTGTGGGAACTATAGAGACCTAATCACTGCACAGCTACTGTATGACTAATGTCTGGAGACTTGGTCTATGTAATAGTGAGCAGGTCCACTGAACTCCTGTGTGTCTTATCCTTAGTTATGCTTATGGCACGGAGGGTCACGCAGACATGAGCTGACACAAAACAAAGGAAACCCAAACTGTTGGAGGCAGCGTATAGACACTAACTACAGCATGGTTCTTCACCCAACTGCGTCTGTGTGGTTAGAAATGGCTGAATGTGCACAAACAGGCAAAAACCCTCCATAAGGGACACCTGTCACCTGTTGAACTGCTCCTTCACACAAATAGCTAATCAGCCAATCATGTGGCAGCATCTCAATGTAGTCATGTAGACATAGTGAAGACGAGCTGCTGAAGTTCAAACTGAGCATCAGAATGATGAAGAAAGGTGATTTAAGGGACTTTGAACGTGGCATGGTTGTTGGTATTTACTGGGATTTTCAGCACAACCATCTCTAGGGTTTACAGAGGATGGTCCCAAAAAGAGAAAATATCCAGTGAGCCAAAATGCCTTGTTGATGCCAGAGGTCAGAGGAGAATGGCCAGACTGGTTCAAGATGATAGAAAGGCAACAGGAAGTCAAATAACCACTGGTTCCAACCAAGGTGTGCAGAAGAGCATCTCTGAAGCAACAACACCTTGTCCAACCTTGAAGCAGATGGGCTACAGCAGCAGAAGACCACACCAGGTGCCACTCCTGTCAGCTAACAACAGGAAACTGAGGCTACAGTTCACACTGGTTTTCTCACCAAAACTGGACAATAGAAGATTGGAAAAACCACATTCAGATGGAAGCATGGATCCATCCTGCCTTGTATCAACGCTTCAGGCTGCTGCTGGTGGTGTAATGGTGTGGGGGAGATTTTCTTAGTACCAACTGAGCATGGTTTAAACACCACAGCCTACCTGAGTATTGTTGCTGACCGTGTCCATCCCTTTATGACCACAGTGTACCCATCTTCTGATGGCTACTTCCAGCAGGATAACGCACCATGTCACAAAGCTCACATCATCTCAAACATGACAATGAGTTCACTGTACTCCAATGGCCTCCACAGTCACCAGATCTCAGTCCAATAGAGCACCTTTGGGATGTGCTGGAACGGGAGATTCTCATCATGGATGTGCAGCCGACAAATCTGCAGCAACTGTGTGATGTCATCATGTCAATATGGACCAACATCTCTGAGGAATGTTTCCAGCAGCTTGTTGAATCTGTGACACCAAGAATTAAAAAGGGAGTCCAACCTGGTACTAGCAAGGTGTACCTAATAAAGTGGTCGATAAGTGCATGTGCCGAGCCACACTGGGATTAAACAACAAATAGCTGTGGAGGTCATATCAGACTGGTGTGCCACAGTATGCCTGGAGACTCTTACTATACTTCAGGGCCATCAGTACAAACACACTCCAAGCTTGTGCATCAGAGGACAACAGTTCCCATGAGTAAATGTCCTCTGGTCATCACAGAATATTCTTCACTGACCTGAATGTAAAGCTAAGACCTGTGCAGCCAGCAAACAAACACCTCCAAACACGAAAGGCTCCTCCAGAGCTGACCTGTGCCTACTAAAAAAATATAACTATGAGTCAATACTTTGGTGGCCGGAGGCATACTAAGTGGAAACCACAGGAACTGTGATTGGTCAGCTTGGGCTGCTTGTGCTTCCTCCTGCAAGTCTCTGATGCTGATCGAGATCGTTGCAAGCTGAGACGAGATAACAAAACTTCAAGCCTCACTCAGTAACCTGCTCCTGTTGAGTAACATTTGACACTTTTTGTGATCAAGCAAAGTCAGTTCTACTGCAGCCTGTCTGCACCCTGTGACCTCCACTCTGTATCACAGAATAGAAACATGACGACTTGTGCTTTAATGAGTGCACAGCAACAGTCTCCTGTTCAGTAGAGAGATGAGAGACGATGTTAAGAACTAAAAACACACGTGTGCAATGGATGCATCTGCAGCAGGACGGCTGTAACACCAAACACAACCATGATCCACCTTTAACAGAAACAGAAACTCAACTTTACTCACACACAGATTACAAGTACTCCTGACACACACTGCTGAAGTTTGACTGACTGAATGGTCAAGATGTCAAGTCATGAGGTATACTGCACCAGTGATAATGTTATGTCTTAAACAGCTGTGTTAACAGGACCACAGTCCTTCCAAAGAGCTGGCCTGCCAGTGTGTGTTTGATTACATAAGAGGCGCACATGTGTGCAAATGTTGGTTTGTGTGTGTGTGTGTGTGTGTGTGTGTGTGTCCTACCATGAGCAGCTGCAACAGCAGCACCAGCAGAAGCAGCAGGCGTTGGGCCGCTGGGAATTCTGGGTAGTGGTAACGCCCCGCCCCCCTCCTGCCCCGCTCAGTGCTGAGGTCTCGCTGCGACCTCCCCCCATGGCCAGCTCGCCCCCTCGCTCGGCCGGGATCGGACCTGTGTACTGCAGAGACACAGAGAGACAAAGAGACAGATACTGTCATTTACACTGGTGAGAGACGCATTCATGCCCTTTAGTTGCTTGAGTAAACGTACCTACAGTACACTGCAATGTTCATAAATACTCAAAATTCGAAACCCCACTTCAGCCGTCAGTAAAGGTGCTTGTCTATTATTATATATTAAATTGAGTGACTGTTAATACTGACGCATCAGTGCATAAGTGTCCCAGGCAATCCAAGGTGCAACTACTGTATCTTTAGCTACTTTTTAAGTAGATCAGTGGTTCCCAACCTCTGGGTCTGACCCCTTCCAAGGGTCACAGGATCAGTTTGGAGGGTCATGAGAGGATGGATGGGGTATGAAAGAAAGAAAAGTTTTGCTCCACAAATTTGGACCAACTTTTTGCACTTTTGACTAAATATTTTGTGAAATAATCAGGGATCCCATAAGAAGTGTAAATCACACGTTTCATCACAAAATCAGGGGGTCAACAGACAGTTAAAGTCAGGACTTTTTAATGCCTCCTTATTGGTCTATAAGCATCATGTGATACTAGTGACGTTTCTATGGTCATGAAACGCAGCACGAGATTCTGATTTAGTAAAACAAGGAACATATTTTGTGTAATCTCAGACATGTTTTGGGATTTATGGGAACAATAGCCAAAACAATGTATATTCAAAACGTTGCTGAAACATTGCGGTAATTCCAAAACATTTCCAGGCCTGGAAAACAGTTCAGGAATTTCATAACCATGGGAACCCTGAATAATGTTTTATTTGACCTCTCTGGGCCTTGAACTGTTACTGGAGGGTTAATGTGGAACAGCTAACAATTCATAGACATCTGGAATGTGATAAGAGAAAATGTTTTGTTCAGTGTCACAAACTGAAAAGGTTGGGAAACACTGTTTTAACTTTGAATAATCAGTCCATCCAGAAAAACGTGATTATGCGATCGCATAATTCAACGCATAATCAGCCAAATGCGGGGGCCGCATTTTTTCAAAGACGCCGCACTTTCGCCGCATAAATCGCCGATTTCCGCGTAAAATGCGCGAAATATGCGGGGCTTGCATGATTTCATAATCCTCGCATTTTTGATGTAAGAGGGGTTTTCCTTGTGAACGCTCTGTAATGTACAAACAGCTGTTGTGTCTGTATGAGGCTCGCTGTGCGCGTCACGTAATGAGACAGAGCGCGCACTAGGCAGAGTCGGTGTGATGTTTCTTCTCCTCCTGTGGGGAGGAAGGAAGAAACCTTCCAGTGAAATAACTCTCAACCTAAAAGAGCTGGTTATGATTTTAGGCATGAATGAGGGATTCGGCCTCAGAGTAGCTGCGCTCCCGTCATCTCTGATAACGAGACAAGACGGGGAGACTGAAAGCGCACATAAATCACTCACTCTCTTACGAAGTCAGGGCTAAGAGAAGTGCTGTCTTTAATGACAGTAGTTTGAGAGAGATTTGTGACAGAGGCTCAAAGGGAGGTTCTTCCAGAGCACGTAACACCAGGGGTAAATCCCACTGCGGTGCCAAGGAGCGCGTGACAGGTCTCTGTCGCCTGACTCCTTTCAAAAAGTGCTTAACCAGCGGGTGCACAAAAACGGATCTCTCTCCATAGCCTTCATGACATAATATATATTTTATTTATTTATTTTTACATAAATTGTAGCATATTCTAGCTACAAAACTTGTTTGACTTAGCAATGTTTTGTAAGTTTGAGCCATGTGTTTATTAAAAGGTCTGAAATAAAACAAGATGAGAACTTAAATATTCACTGCACTTTCTGTGATGTAGTATGCTTGCTTATCATAGGAAGTAATTAGAAATGACTACATTAAGGTAGTAGCCTAGTGAGAACAGGGTGTTGGTGGAATCACTTTTTTCCTCTTTTTCATCAAACCGCAGTTTTTGCAAGTTCCCACAATTTTTGCAAGTTCCCGCAATTTCATCATATGAAATTGCATAAATATCCCGCATATTCCATCGAATTTTTTAAGAAAATGTGCCGCATAATCAAGGATTTTTGCCCGTAACAATCACGAAAAAACTCTGCATTTTTCTGGAAGGACGGAATAATGCATTATATAATTTCATTAAATGTATTTTTATGCAAGATGTATATGTTGTAACATTAGCACAAGACCCCACAAGAGAATCCCAAAGAAGCCAGTCAGCTCCTAGCTGCATTTTTGCATTTGCAGAGCTGAGATGGACCCTAACATACTGCAGGTCTGCTAATAACAGGTCAAAGACAAAGAAACAGAGCCACATACAGTGACATGAGGGAAAACAGAAGAACTTTTAACTTGTTTCTGATGTTCCAACACCACCGGTGTCAGACAGAAGCTAAAAATTGTCTTCACGTGATCATCTCTGTTTACAGTAATCATTCAAGGTAGCACAGTTAATATGTGTGTGTCAGTGTTTTCAAATGCTACACAGCAAGTTTGCCTTTAGAGATGAGCCACGATCACAATGAAGGATCTGAAGTCACATTATGACAGAATAAACTGTTGTTGGCTGTTTTTTTTCTTCATTATAAACATTATAAAATTTAATTAACTCCTATGGTTAACACTGGTCTCTATCCTGGCAGACAGTCTTTACACACTGATAAGGAAGTTCTGACTCTGTGAATCACACATTACAATTTGAGACGGGGGGGAAGCAGAGAATGGAAAAGAAAGAGAGGTTTGTCAGTGAAATGAAGAAGCATGGGCACATGTCAGTGACTTGAAGGCTCAGTTATGAGCTCCTCCCTGCAGCGCAACCTGCTCTGAGTTCTCACAAAAAAGGACGAAGCATCATACAGCTGCTGATTTAGATTAAGATGTTCAAAAAAGAACTGTTCGCAAAAATAATGATTCAGACTTTGACGACATTCTCATCAGCATTTGATTTTTTCTTTCAGTGAGTGAGATGTTGAAGGGGGGAGAAACTGAGACCAAAAAAAAAGAAACACCAGAGGGGGCAGGGTTATCTGATGGGAGACCGCGAGAAAAGGAGGAATAAATACAGGGACTAGGAGAGAAAGACAAAGAGCTAAAAGGGGGAGAGATGTTAAACGGTGCCAAGAAAGAGATCACAGAGTAAAAGAGGAAGAGGCAAACAAGAGATTTACAAATTTAGAGAGGGCATGGAAGAAGAGAGACAGAGCCAGAGAGAGAGACACCATGCAGAATAGAGGAAGTGAAAGAGAGCGACTATGGAGACAGAGGGGGCAATGTGATGCATCATGTGATTGAGCTGTGATCACACACACAAATACACACAAAGAAGATCACACAAACATAAACACAGGTTTCTCAACTTTGGGTTCTGGACTACAGTCCCTGAGCTCCTGGATCTACTGACATTCAGACGATGCTGCAGGAGTTGCATCGACATTTAAAGGTTCAAACATCCAGCATATATTCTATTTAAAGCTCCCTCCATCCGCCAGAGAACGCAACGGCACTCCGAGCTCAGAGTCAGTTTGTAACCTCAGGACGTCTGGCCCAGAAAGGGTTAAGAATCACAGCCACGGGGCAAATGTACACACACTGTACATTCGAACACAGTAACACATGTACGAGCACATCGTGTACATCATGTACTCGCAGACATATGCACAAAAGGACAGCAAATATACACACATACATAATGAAAAAGCACACAGAGACATCCATATGCACACATAAAGGTGCATTCATATGTACAAAGAAAAGTACGCAAATACACACACATACACACAGACTCAGTGTGTGTGTGTGTGTGTGTGTGTGTGTGTGTGTGTGTAGATAATTCCATGTCGATGCTATCATCATTAGATTGGGTGCGTTTGTTATTTTTCCATTTCTCTAAAATGGTGAAACTACAGCTCAGCTAACATTAGCCTCCAGCTGTCGACTCGTCTGTGTGTCTGTCTGCCAGCTCAGGGACAGAAGTGGGCTGCTGACCTGTGTGTGTGTGTGTGTGTGTGTGTGTGTGTTTGATGCCAACACTCCAGAGAGCGGGTGAATGTGGCAGAATGGTTGGTGATGCTGGTCACACTGTAGATTAGTGAATGAAAGAAGTAACCACGACAAAACAATCTATTTAGTGCAGACTGATGAAGACACTGTCATTTGAATTATAAAATAATTTTACTATTTATTTTATTTACTACATGGTCGTCCACAGTTTGAGGTTTGACTAGAGCTCAATTACATCATCTCCCTGTGCCCTCTTCTTCTGCAGTGGTTTCATGGCAGCAGACTGGAGAATTAGCTCACCAACTGTTGATCTCGATGTGATCAGCTCCTAATATCTGCACACTGGTAGTGAATGGAAACTAGGAATGTTAACGATTAGCCATTAATCGGTTAACTGCAGAGAATATTTTTGACCAGTTAGGCTTGTTGGTCAGAAGGTCTATTTTTGCTATTCTTCAGTTTGCCACACTGCGCACCAACCTGGTCTGGTGGGAGATAGCTAGCTGATAGCACCCCTCATTTGGCAATTACCGCTAGTAACACCATCCTAACCAAAAAGCGTTGTTATGGGAACAGTAGCCATGTTTCCATCAGCCTGTTTAGATGCGCATCTAGAAGTATCGCATCGGAAAATTATGATGGAAACACCAAAATTCGAATTAAAATCCCCTGATTTGCACAAACTAAAATATGCTCGCTTTAGCCGGGTTTTGGTTGATTTGAAAAAATGTTGATTCGCAAAACAGGGGATGGAAACATTTATGTTTGAATTAAGTCTGATGTAGCGCACCTCTCTCCATGGCAGGGCTGTACAGTGCGACAGTTTTCGTCGCATTTGCGAATAAAAATAATTCTGTGCGAAGAGAAATATGTTTCAACTCGCATACGTGTGAGTCAGTTGCGCTGGAATCATGTCTAAAAAAAGTGGGAAAAACTAATATTACTGTCTCTTGACCTATACAAGTACCCGTCCGTTGTTGGGAAACTGCTTCATGAGTAGTTGTAGTTCTAAGTGTATACTGTCCATCTCAATTCAACTACTA